AAAGGACTGTTTTGATCAAGCATCCTTGTCTCGAGTGTCGCAACGATAAGTACCGTATTTGGGATTCATCGTGACCTAGAAGCACAGAAAATGAAAAAGCACCAAATGCTCCTGGGGGCTTCATTTTACGTTTAACTAAGATGGATAGTACGAAAAAGCCTTTTAATTGTGGAAAAGGGAAAAAAGGGGATTTCAAAAACAAAAAAAATAACAACAATTTAATCAATTTTTGATTAAAACCTCATAGGCGTGTGTGTCAGGCTTTTCTACCTCACCCCCCTCCCCCTCCACTTAATTACTTAAAAACCTAGAGAAGCCTCATAATCTAAAGAACAAGGGATTTCATGGGGAACAGTATGTAACTTTAAACTTAAAAAAACCTAGTTGTCTTATTTTGGAAAACACTTTCCTAGTGTCATGGACAAAATAATGTCACGTGCTTCTTACAATCACTCTAAAAAGCACAATCAAAAAATTCCCAAAACACTGAAGGAACTCTTACGTTGGATTCTTTTGCTTCGTTCAGATTAGGGTTGAAAATGACCTTCATAGAATTTTACAGTGCAGGAAAAAAATTGCTTGATGGAGATTTTGTTTCAACTATGTGATTACGTTAAATCCTGCAAGGTACTTGTAGCGGCCCCCGTGTTCCGCCGTTTTTTACGTCATGTATGTGTCACGGATTTCTGCGCATGTGAGCTAGTTTTGTTATGTTATCGACCACGCGGTCCAATGTTAGAGCCCGGAAAGGCGTAAGTTTTTACTTTCCTGCTTGCCGTTTTCCAGTTTTTCTGTGTACTAACTGTACATCTGTATATCTAGTTTGACAGATTCACTTCTTTAGCGATTTGGAGATGTATTACGCGTATGGATTTGTGATTAAAGCTATGATAATCTGTTCAAGTCAAACGGGTGTTTGGCATTTCGGACCCGCGCTGGCATAGTACTGACTGGGAAATTTTGTCCTTTTTTATCGATCTTTGAAAATAATTGTTGAAAATAATAAATTTGTCATTTTTAAAGAGATAAATGAACTAAAAGACCATCAATGCAAAGCTTTGTACGCAGCTGAATAAGCTTGAATACTAAAAGAAGTCGAAAACTTCAAACCTCGGCTAGTTTGAGCCCCTCAGATAGCTGTTCCGGCGAGAGCGGTAAGTACGCTGTAAAACTTAAAGGTTGGGGAAAAATAGCCTATCATTATACTTTCATCATATTTCTTTTAACTGTGGCTTAAAACAAGGCCCCCGAAAAGTAATGTAGGTTTAGAAGATTAGGGAAGCGGCCTAAATAATTTCGTTCCTAAACCCCCTAAGACAATTACTTCGAGCCGTTTTTACGTCTGAATCGACCGGCCGTTAATGCCGTCCAATGAAGTCACTACCCCTTTGCTTTAATTCATGCAGAAAGTCAGACACGATCTTCGACTGGCAAACTGCAAGAAAGATCGTTTGAAAATGTCCCGGGGTGGGGGTACTGAACACTTAGTTCAAAAACACAACGGCGCTTTAGCTTTAATTGAAAAGAAGCTATTTGGTCCTTAACGAAGAAAAAAGAAAACAAGGAAACAGGAAATAAAAGCTAACAGAATCACTACACTTGACTTTTGAAATGACAAGAAGGTCGAATTATGACTTAAATCTCAGACATGGAAAACATCGAAGAGACAAAACACCGCCGAAACCACAAAGCGGCTGTTAACGAAAAACCTACCGACTCTCTGCAATAATTCTTCATTCGTAGTTCAACTTAACAATTCATAATTTTGAAGGCAAGGGCAACTTTGCTGTTTACGTTAAAGGATTGTCGAAATTTTTGAGCTCCACGCAAGGACCATTAGTACTGATGCCAGGTATGTGAGCCGCTGGATATCAAACGACAATGTCCCCATAATTTCTCATAATTATACATAATTATGCCAAAGTTTGGACAATCAACCAACCAAAATCACTAATCGGTTTTCGGATAGTGACGTCACTGGGCGGCCTTAACGGCTGGTCGATTCAGACGTTGCTGAGAGGAGAAAACGACTCGAAGTAATCGTCTGAAATTCAGGCTACCTAAAACCATTTTCCATTTGTCTAAAAAAATCATTTTAGAAAAGGAATGTAAAGCAATTTCCATTTGCACAGGTAAGGGTTTGCCATAGTTCTTCATACCTTGCAGTGTTATTTTTGCTGAATAGGCAAGGGGCTTTGAAACAGCATACAATCTTTCGACACTCATTATTGACAAGTTCACGAAGGTGCAACCGATAAGCATGAAAGGAACAGATTTACTGGCTTGGTAAAGATGAACCAATTTGCAAGTGTCTTGAAAATGATGCAGAAGAAAGCGCCATGCTATGTACACAGGTTGAAGAACTAGGCCGGTTAGACAATCAGAGGCAGCCAGGCTACACAGCATCACTTTAACTGGACGGTGGAGTGAAGGAGAGCGGATCATGATGACTAAAACAGCCAAGTTAGCGACCACGGCAAATAAGGCGAATGGGATGCTCACGACCGTTATCACAGTGCCACTGATGTACACAGACTGGACGTTGACGGCGTTAAGAATCCAAGATGGGAGGCATAGTTCTGAACTGTCATTGTTTAAGGCGAACTCATTTCACACCGTCGAATCGCTACGGAGACGAACTCCTTGTTGTTGTTCCCAGCCCGTTTCGCGCATGCTCACTATAGTTCTGGAATGATTGACAGATTTCCTAACTGGGGCGATGATGGAAAGCCGAACGGCGGCAAGATAAAAGGCCGTTGCCAGCTCCCCCTGGCCGCCATCGTGTTAATTTATTATACATCCTTGCAAATCATGCGTCATACTTGGTCGCGCGATACGGCTGAAATTTTTGGAGGCAAATTCGCGTATTTTGAAGGCGAAAAATTGGTTTTGTAAGATTTTGATTTAATTTTCATTTCGCTGACACAGGTTTAGTAGAAATCTCTTTGTAGTCGTTTTCGTCGACAAAACGAATAGCAATATCGCTCTCCGCGTCTTCCGCCATTTTTTTTCTGCGTCAATTCGTGAAGAGCGTGTGGCTCTGTGCGCGGGTCATCCACGCGGACCACATTCGCGCTATGTGATTGGCTGTTGTCTAATCCCCCTTAGGATCTGTGGTCTTAAAAATAACTCGAGACGAATTACCTATGGAATAGGGTGCGTATGGGGGATGCCTTCTCTGTCCCCTTTATCCTCTCTTGCTGAGAAGTGATCTTAACGACCATTTCCTGCATCACGTTGCCTACCTGCAGCATATTTGATGCGAGTGCATTAGTTCAGAATCAGTGTGTATCCACCTCATATTGCTGGTTTTCAGTGTCACGCCATTCAAAATAGATCAAAATAAAAATCAAAACCATTCGATAGATAAAGTCTAGAATCTGGGAAATGAAAGGAGGTAAATATACAAAGACCCTCGCCAAGATTTGGGTCGAAGGAATAATTCGTATACGAGATATCCGAGGAAATGTTTTACCCAAATTTAGAGAGCTTTGTATGGAGACGCCATGCTGGAGCTCATCCGGATGAGCTCCAACATGGCGAATGGAAGCCAACAGAAACATTTGTTGCCGAGTTTTGCTACAAAAGCGTGATTTTAGTCCTAGAGGAACTCATGATCATAAACATTAAAGTAATACTTTTTCTAATACTTGAACTGTTTAGATAGCAAAATTCCTCGAGAAAAGTCATTTTTTTAACCTAAATGACAGCTCTCTGATCGGCTGTCATGTAAATGCTGCGTCACGCAAAAACTTAGAAATTCAAGCGTACTCTACTACAAAACCAAGGAACCTTTTGAAGCGAAAATTTGTTTGCAAATTAGTTTTATTTCAGCTGCTCTAATACACCATGAAAGAAAAATCTCAGTAGGATGGATAGTTCTGTAGTTTGAATTTTAGTGACGTCATGTGAAAACCAACAATATGGGTTTTTGAAGAAGCTCAATCACGCCTGTGTGGACAGTGAGCCCAGTTAAACGTTCGATTTGCTGTAACGTATGATTCAAGGTTTCCTGTAAACCTTTATCCCGGAAGAGACTTGCCATTTCATCTTTACTGCGGTTCCGTAGATTTACAGAAAGAGGCAATTTCGCACCCGTTTCCTGCGTTGCAGCCGCAACCCACGTATAGCGTATGGTATTGAAATAAATGCTATAAACAGAAGGTTCAGACCCAAATCTCGCCCCATGTAAGGTAATCCGGAATCCGGAATCCAGGTAATTTTGGTCTGTGGAATCCGGAATCCACGGCTTTGGAATCCGGAATCCAGCTAATGAAATCCGGAATCCAAGCATTGTAATCCAGAATCCAGGTTGCTGGAATCCACTCTGTGGTGATGGTTCCAGGGCCTCTTCTTTTCCTTTAGCGACTGTTGCGTGAAAATCTCATGTCGCAAGGACGCGCAACAGGCATGTTCACGCGTGTTTCCCTCGCAGGAACATCCCTTTTCATTGTGACATATCGGGTATCAATTTGAAACAATGGTCACATTATAATGACGTGACAGAATCCCAGGGAGTGATTCATATTACTGTATATTATCGCTCTTTATAAGACACCCTTTCGACCGGGCCTTTCGACCTTTTTCCCCGTTGCGCTTTTGGAGTCGGAGGTTTAGATTCTTTTCCTGTTTGGGCGCAATTGGAACTAATTTTTGGATTTCGGGTAACGTCAAAAGAATAATAATATAAAGTATCCTTATTCTTGGCCGTATTATCAGTAGTCGCTGTGGTTGCAGTTACTGGCTTCTTTAATTTCAGGCACATGTCATCAGTGTCACTCGAAGAATGACATGCTGCACGTGGTGTCGACGTGGTGTCTTTCATTCAGTCCAGATTCAATCAGTCGAAATCAGACATCTCGAGAGATCACTTTGAATTTTTTTCTCAATCGATCGTTATCAATCTTTGTTAGCATGGGGAAGCACAAGAAAAAGCATGACTCGGAAAGGTACGTACGTCTATAAATTCGCTGACTGCGATCCCAAGCAAAAAGAAGTTTATGAATTCCATGCTAGCAGACAGAGCGAAGAACCCCTACCAAGTCCCTATTCCTGACTGCCCACACAACATCAAGTCAGTACGTTCTGCAGAGTTTTGGCATTGGATTGACATTGATGGATACCTAGTGAATGTAAGGCTGCTTTTGGTGCTACTTAGAGAATACGAAGACATCAAGAAATCAGTTTCATTGAAAGCAGTTCGAAACAAAGATCGGATGCACGTAGAAACAGCAGTGGAGATTCACCGGAAAGCGATTCAAGATTCCATTCCAGATGAAAGAGTGAGCACAACATTAGTTCCAGAACTGGAATTCAAGCACTGGAAAAAGAACGGGGCCTCTCTTTTAAGCTACACGGTAGGATTGGCATTCTCCCTAAAGCATAGCAGGCTGTTTATTACCGATAGACGTCTCCATGCAGTCTTCATGGTTGACATGCACTGTCCAGCAAATGTCACATTAATCGCTGGTGGTGGTGAGCCCAGGCACACTAATGGATATAGCAACAAGGCCAGATTTAGAAACCCAGCTGGTATTGCGGTGAAAGAGAGCGGGAAGCTGTACATTTTTGACCAAGGAAACGGAAGAGTTAAAGTAGTCAATTTGCGAACGCTTTTCTGTCACGCTTCCCAGATTGTACAAGGGAGCGCCGAAGAAAGCCAAAGTGAGGAAGAAGATTGCGCCGGTAGACGTATCCGTAAAGTCCATGCACACGATCTTTCCCTTATTTCTGAAGGTAATGTACCGGATCTGGTGTCACCATTTGCCATATGTGCGTCTGCAAAGGGTAGCATTGAACTGTTTGTGTCAGACGTTGGTCTTGGCAAGATTTTTTCAATTTCTGGTGTTGTAGACGATGAGGAAACTAACTGCGTCGGCCAGTTAAATGAATTGTTTTGTTTTGATCGATCTAGTTTATTAACTTCATTAGCCTTAACACGTGACGAGCAATACTTGTTAGTTGGAGACGGGAATGGTTCATGTATTCATCTTTGTCAAGTGAGAGGACGATTGAAACTGAGAACAATTTCGAATATTCCAGGCCTCATGGGTATTGCAGTGACAGATGGTGGAACCGTGTTCTTGTCCTCCAGCAAAGAACACGCACTGTTCAGTTTGAAGGAAGAAGAGATGCTTGGGGGTAAAGAAACCCTAACAAAAGTGTGTGGAGAAACTGCAGGCCATCGTGATGGTGTCCAAAGTCGATGGAACAAGCCTACTGCTTTATGCGTATATCGAAACACTGTTTTCGTATGCGATACCGGTAACGTAGCAATAAGAATGTTGACGTCAGCAAAGGGACTGATCCCCCTGCAAAGTAAGATGGCCCAATATGCAAACGTGTTCCGACTCGACAAGAAAGCCAAAGAAGAAGACCTACCACGTACATTTGAAGATCATGTGAAATCTGTCGAGGAGTTGATTGCATTTCTCTCTAACCACGAACAGGAAGCCCTGGAGAGGACGCGCAAGCGAAATACCAACGGTCCCGACATGACCATACCTCGATGCACCCGACAGTCCTTCCTCATAGTGCTAGAATCGCTGACCAGCCTTACCAACACGCTAACGGAGATTGGGCATAGTCACCTTCTGGACAGGATCTGTTTCGAAAGTGTGACAACTTTGGGCGTGGAATGCTATTTCAAAGGAATGCGAGCAGACCACGACATGCCTACAGTAGCTAACTACGCTTACAGAAGAGCGTGCTGCGAGGAAGACGATATGCTGTGCATTTACCAGAAGAATTTCTCATATTTCACTGGACCCAATTCATATTATCCGGAGAAAATTATCAAAGGTGAACCCCCAAACATCAAGACGCGACCAAACAAGCTGTCAGCAATCACTGAAGGAACAGGTAGCAAAGAAGAAGACACAAGGCGAGAAACTGTGATGCGAGAATTTGCTAAGGAGTATGGAAGAGGCGTAAGACAGGAAAAATTGTCCGCTCAAAATCGAAAGAGCTAACTGGCACCCTTCCTTATGCCCTTAGTATGTGTCCCACTACCATCACAGCCTCATTAGAGGAAAGGGAAGACGTAACAACAGCCTGCCAAGTTGTGGATGCTAATGTGGCATTGCGGAGTACGGCTGTACGGGTGCAAACCATTTACCAGAAAGACGACATATTGGCAGTAAGACACAACCGTAGAAGAGAGATCTCACCCTTCTGGCTAGCAGTTCTTCTGCAGGATGTACAAATAGAAGTGAATGGTGGAAATTTTGTGCAGCAAAAAGTATACCTAAAGTGGCTAAACCAAACAAGTGATTCACTAACATACACCTCCGGTGATGTCTGTAATGGGAATTCCCCCAAGTGCATTCTAACCCGAGTACTCGACTTTTCTTCCGATGGATCAGACATCATTTTAACAACAGAGGAGGATAACAGGCTCTGTCGAATTGCTAATGGGGACTACGGTGACGATGATGACAATGAGAATGAAACTGCACCACCAACTGCAGAGGATGAGGGAGAAGTATCCCTCCCGATAAGACTGCCGGGAGTTAGTTTATCAGGACGGAGAACGACACGGTTTATTACTAAAGATAAACGTTTCCGTTGCCTGCGTAGCTTGTAGTATAGTAATTGGACTATCTTCACGCTATTTGTTGGTAAGCTGTAACTGAAGTTTTACATTTCTGTGTGGCAATTAAGCAATTCGGAGACGAATTATGTTTGAACCTGAAAAGCACTGATTTTGGCAATGTGTACCTGTTTTGTTATTTTTGACGCCGTTGTTATTATTAAAATAAGAATAGCCCTTCCTCGTTAGTATTTCTTCAACGATGTGGACTCAGTGGACTTCAGAAACCGCTCCTATATTCATAATCCTCTCGGGTAAGGCCAAGAATTATATTTTATACTTATATTTTATATAAGACAATGTACACTTCGGGTAAAAAAAGAACAAGCTTTTTTGGTGAAAACAAAGTACAAAGGAAACGTTGAAAACCAGAAAATAGAATTTTGAAATCTGGAATCCAGCCACTTATGGAATCCGGAATCCACGGATGTGGAATCCGGAATCCACAGGCATGGAATCCGGAATCCACAGCGTGGAATCCGGAATCCAAGACTCTCTTGGATTACCTTACATGGGGCGACAAATCAGATAACTTTGGGAAAATAATAGATGAATTTCACAATGCCTGTCTTATAACCAAAAGTTTAATAGCAACTTAAAAAACATACATTCAAATAAACAATTGAATTTTAAGAATTTTTCACATTAAATTGCATTTTCAGACCGGTCGGCGGCAAGTCAGAGAAATAAAGGGTAAGATTGATCGTTCCATGCTAAAACAAACAAACCGCTGAACAAAAAAGAACTTAATTTCACATTGCAAACTTCAAAGCCTGCCTCAAAGCGGCATTTTTTTTAATCTGAACAACAGGGTTAAGACTGGATATCAACTGGGAGAAGACTGACGCCCAAGGGAACAGAATGTGTCCTGACACAATGCTTTTTTCCACATTCAGAAGTAAGAGGATAGGAAGAATGGACAGGAGCGTCGCTACCGTGTACAATGCCATATCTGCAAAAGCCTTTTTCTCCCTTTTAAAAAGGATCGCTTGTTGAGAGTTGTGGGTGGCATCTAAGATCTTTTTGTTGTTGGAGCGGATTGCCTGGAAAGTCAAGACGTGTCCGCCGATTGGTATGATCATCATTGAAATCATCGTGATACTTTCCAGCGCTTGATAAAGTACCTCAGGCACCGCAGTTTCCAGAAGGATTATGTAGATGAACCAGATCACCCATGCACTAATGACTATCTTTACCATTCCTGAAATACAATTATTGTAATTAATTTTAAGAATAAAGTTAGTAAAGACATGGGTTACTGGCTTAGCTGGCTGCCCGGCATCATAAAAGGACTGTTTTGATCAAGCATCCTTGTCTCGATTGTCGCAACGATAAGTACCGTATTTGGAATTCATCGTGACCTAGGGGCACAGAAAATGAAAAAGCACCAAATGCTCCTGGGGGCTTCATTTTACGCTTAACTAAGATGGATAGTACGAAAAAGCCTTTTAATTGTGGAAAAGGGAAAAAAGGGGATTTCAAAAACAAAAAAAAACGACAATCTAATCAATTTTTGATTAAAACCTCATAGGCGTGTGCGTCAGGCTTTTCTACCTCACCCCCCTCCCCCTCCACTTAATTACTTAAAAACCTAGAGAAGCCTCATACTCTAAAGAACAAGGGATTTCATGGGTAACAGTATGTAACTTTAAACTTAAAAAAACCTAGTTGTCTTATTTTGGAAAACACTTTCCTAGTGTCATGGACAAAATAATGTCACGTGTTTCTTACAATCACTTTAAAAAGCACAATCAAAAAATTCCCAAAACACTGAAGGAACTCTTACGTTGGATTCTTTTGCTTCGTTCAGATTAGGGTTGAAAATGACCTTCATAGAATTTTACAGTGCAGGAAAAAAATTGCTTGATGGAGATTTCGTTTCAACTATGTGATTACGTTGAATCCTGCAAGGTACTTGTAGCGGCCCCCGTGTTCCGCCGTTTTTTACGTCTTGTGTGTGGCCAGGATTTCTGCGCATGCGTGCTTGTTTTGTTATGTTATCGACCACGCGGTCCAAAGTTAGAGCCCGGAAAGGCGTAAGTTTTTACTTTCCTGCTTGCCGTTTTCCAGTTTTTCTGTGTACCAACTGTGCATCTGTATATCTAGTTTGACAGATTCACTTCTTTAGCGATTTGGAGATGTATTACGCGTATGGATTTGTGATTAAAGCTATTATAATCTGTTCTAGTCAAACCGGTGTTTTGCATTTCGGACCCGCGCTGGCATAGTACTGACTGGGAAATTTTGTCCTTTTTTATCGATCTTTGAAAATAATTGTTGAAAATAATAAATTTGTCATTTGTAAAGAGATAAATGAACTAAAAGACCATCAATGCAAAGCTTTGTACGCAGCTGAATAAGCTTGAATACCAAAAGAAGTCGAAAACTTCAAACCTCGGCTAGTTTGAGCCCCTCAGATAGCTGTTCCGGCGAGAGCAGTAAGTACGCTGTAAGACGTAATTGGGGAAAAACAGCCTATCATTATACTTTCATCATAATTCTTGTAACTGTGGCTTAAAACAAGGCCCCCGAAAAGTAATGTAGGTTTAGAAGATTAGGGAAGCGGCCTAAATAATTTCGTTCCTAAACCCCCTAAGACAATTATTTCGAGCCGCTTTTACGTCTGAATCGACCGGCCGTTAATGCCGTCCAATGAAGTCACTACCCCTTTGCTTTAGTTCATGCAGAAAGTCAGACACGATTTTCAACTGGCAAACCGCAAGAAAGATCGTTTGAAAATGTCTGGGGGGTACTGAACACTTAGTTCAAAAACACAACGGCGCTTTAGCTTTAATTGAAAAGAAGCTATTTGGTCCTTAACGAAGAAAAAAGAAAACAAGGAAACAAGAAATAAAAGCTAACAGAATCATTACACTTGACGTTTGAAATGACAAGAAGGTCGAATTATGACTTAAATCTCCGACATGGAAAACTTCGCACAGACAAAAGCACTGCCGAAACCACAAAGCGGCTGTTAACGAAAAACCTACCGACTCTCCGCAATAATTCTTCATTCGTAGTTCAACTTAACAATTCATAATTTCGAAGGCAAGGGCAATTTTGCTGTTTACGTTAAAGGATTGTCGAAATTTTTGAGCTCCACGCAAGGACCATTAGTACTGATGCCAGGTATGTGAGCCGCTGGATATCAAACGACAATGTCCCCATAATTTCTCATAATTATACATAATTATGCCAAAGTTTGGACAATCAACCGACCAAAATCACTACTCGGTTTTCGGATAGTGACGTCACTGGGCGGCCTTAACGGCTGGTCGATTCAGACGTTGCTGAGAGGAGAAAACGACTCGAAGTAATCGTCTGAAATTCAGGCTACCTAAAACCATTTTCCATTTGTCTAAAAAAATCATTTTCGAAAAGGAATGTAAAGCAATTTCCATTTGCACAGGTAAGGGTTTGCCATAGTTCTTCATACCTTGCAGTGTTATTTTTGCTGAATAGGCAAGGGGCTTTGAAACAGCATACAATCTTTCGACACTCATTATTGACAAGTTCACGAAGGTGCAACCGATAAGCATGAAAGGAACAGATTTACTGGCTTGGTAAAGATGAACCAATTTGCAAGTGTCTTGAAAATGATGCAGAAGAAAGCGCCATGCTATGTACACAGGTTGAAGAACTAGGCCGGTTAGACAATCAGAGGCAGCCAGGCTACACAGCATCACGTTAACTGGACGGTGGAGTGAAGGAGAGCGGATTATGATGACTAAAACAGCCAAGTTAGCGACCACGGCAAATAAGGCGAATGGGATGCTCACGACCGTTATCACAGTGTCACTGATGTACACAGACTGGACGTTGACGGCGTCAAGAATCCAAGATGGGAGGCATAGTTCTGAACTGTCATTGTTTAAGGCTGTGCTGTTAGCTATATTGTTTAAACCTCTAGTTTTATTGCTTAACATGTTTCAGTTTTCTTGAAGTCAGATGCTTCTTCATGTGGTTCTGCAAGAAAAAATTCCACAATCTAGCTACCTATAACATCAACATAAATTATTTTAGAATAATATCGTGGAACTCCACCTTACGACCACCCCGTTTATACGACCACTTCGTTATTACGACCATATTCTTTCGACCTAAACGTTAAAATTGTTTAGTCATTTTATTGATTTGAATTAAGACCCCGTTAATGCGACCACCTCGTAATTGATTATAATAATGATGATGATGATGATGATGATGTTCATAAAGTTTGGTTTTAATTGCTCCTAGAACTGGAATAATCACGAACCAAAGCAAGTCAAGGAGTTGGAAGAAATGAATTCACTATGGGATTTTCCTATTCAAACTGACCATCCAATTAAGCACAACAGACTCAGTCATCGTAGTTGTAGACAGGCAGAAAAAAAGCTACGCAATAATAGATATAGCATGCCCATTTGACCATCGAATAAGTGAAAAAATTTGCTAAAAAAATTGTCGCCTAATTTAAGTGAGTTTGGCTGCAAATGCGGCATTCACCATCTTTGTCCCCGATTTCCTACTAGTTTGCCCCTTTTTGCATCATATTTGCCCTGGACAATTTAGGGTAATATATTTCTTGGCAAATGAAAGTGGAACTCTCAGTCTCGTAATCCATTACATATATCAGGGTTGATTTTTAGGCCATTTCACAAGTTTCATCAGTAAAATAAGCTCAAAGTACTTTTTTCCTCTCATGGTCGACAGTATAACTGGCCCCAAGAAGTCTGACGAAACAACGTTTTTTCGCTCGCTGATACCAAGCAGCCTTCCCAAGCAATTTCAAAAGCAGATTTCTAATTAGCAAAAGTAACTACTATTTCCTATTTCTAGTTACTCCCATACATTACCATACACTGAGCAGATTTACCTTGCGATTTTTAGTGGGAAAGTCGTTTATTTGCAGGTCTACACCAGATGTAACAGAAACTGGGTAAAACTCGACTTTCAGCTCACGTGAAAAAAAAAAAAGCTTGGATTAGCCTAATTTATACATAACACTTTTATTTTTAAAAAAGCACATTCTTCCTATAGACTATATCAATTTCTCTCCGTCTGTCATTTCCCAGGATACTTAAGGAAATACGTACTACCTAATAACCTTGAAATAAAGGTGCAAAACAAGAGGTTTTTGACCTGCTGATATCATTGATATCATTGGCTGTCGGAGAATTAAGACTAATTGATTGTACTTTGACTTGAAATTTTAATATGCAATGCTTTTATTTCATTATGATTAAGCTTACGTTAACTAGCTAATTGCGAATTTCTGGTAAGTAGTTACAGGCAGATAAACAAGACAAAAAATAATGATCCAAAGGAGCAGATTAATGGCTAGAAAATAAAAAAACTGACAGCCTCAACAACAGCACCTAATTTTTTAAGGCTGCCGCCATTCCCGTCCATGAATCAATTCCCACATGTGCATTTGATTATATCTATACTCTATAATAGATATACTTGCGCGTTATAAATTTTAAATTATATTATTCTATATTATTATATCTCCGAGCCACTCTTTTAGCTTTGCTACTCAAAAACTTGGCTTCAGATCTGGTAAATATGAGGTGAAAATCCGTTACTTTGGCATACAAATGACTAATAGTGTCACTGATTCGTAAAGTTTTCCCTTTTTTTATGAATTTTACTTTTCGCCATACAATTGATAAGAACTTCTTTCTCGATAGCACACGCGTGCTAGCTATGAAGGGTTTTAGAAATTGTTAACGAAGTTAGTCGGTTTCTATAGCATGTGTTTTGAAAGGTTTATTTACGAGTTTGATCCGGGCACTAATGTTTAAACATTCCTTAATTTGCCTGTGATCACAGATGCTCAAATCCCCATGAATCTTAAAACCAACAAAGAAAAACATTAAGAATCAGAAGATTAATTTGTGAGGACATTAATTGTACTTTTACACTTATTCATATCTCACATTGCTCTGAAGAACTGAAACTTCAGTTTGTAAAATTGACAGAGGGCATCAATTAATAGCATTATTTTAAACGTGTATATTACACGAATTTTTTAAAACTGATTTTGGTCCTTAGATAGGCCTCTCCCGAAGCATTTCTTGAATTTTGGCCTTCCAAAAACTTCCTGTTCCGCTTCAGAAATAGCCCAGAAGCTGGGAACGAGTAAGGGATCAAAGACAGGCTGATGACGCCATGTGACGTCAGTTCATAACGTTAGTTTTCCGATTCTGGTTATTGCAGTTATTGCTTTGTGTCTTGTGCAATTAAGTTGAATTAAACGATGTATTTGACTGTAACAAAGGTACAGCGAAGTAAATGAAGATTCAGCAGATGGTTGAGGAGTTGTCCACGACGACAATCCTTCTATTTGCCGCCACCGTGTTAATTTATTCTGCATCCTCTGCCACTCATGCGTCTTTGGCCTCACGATACGGCTGACATTTTTGGAGGCAAATTCGCGTGTTTTGAGGGCGAAAAATCGGTTTTGTAAGATTTTTGACAAGTTGAAAATTCGGACATATACATTTAAGCTGAGAATTAAAAAGACCAAAAAATGATAATAATAATTCGTTTCATTACATTTACACCGGGAGGATGTTTATTTGCATTTCATATATGTCTTCGGGATGAAAAGGGAATGACAATACGTTGAATATGTTATAGGTATTCCTCTCTTACAGGTTTGAGGCCATGTGTTAATACTGTAACAACAGATACGAGAAAATTCAAAAGCCCATCGTGGTACAGATAGTAGGGAGAGACGAGACCGCAAAGCACTTCCAATCGGTTTTTTGGTATTGGTTTAATGGTTTGACCAAAAAAGTCTTCAAGCACTGAACAAGGAATGCTTTTCTACAGTATTAAAGAATATATAACCTCCCACTTGTCTTCTTTCGCTCATTTTCTTTTTTGGCCTATTTCCCCCCACTGCTGAGCCTGATCCTGGTACTAACTCGCCAGACTATCGATAACAAAATTCTCATCACATCTTAAGCTCGAACTGCGCCTCGAACTCTAGAGCTTTATGATGAGTCTCGAAGTCTCGTGTTTGTGCCGGGGCGGGTTGCTTTTCCCTCTCAGTGTTGACGTTTTTATCGTTAAGTCTGTCACTCTTAATCCATGCCGGTTTTGAGAATTCTTGAAACCTACCACTGGCAACTCGTAAAAAAATTCATTGAGGAATTATACTACGCAAGAAAGTCGACTGCCGATAACTCGAACCCTCGCTAACTCGACCTTGCTTAATTATAATAACTCGAACCAAAATTGATTTTCCCTGGAATTCCTTCATACTTTTACTGTTATTTTAATCTAGGTATCTTAAAACCCCCGATAATTCGAACCTCCCGCTAACTTGAAGTAATTTTGTTTCCTTTCAGATCATATTTTTATAAAATTTCTCTCGGTCGATAACTCGAACTATCTTTAAGGGCGTGACAAGTCGAAAAAAAAAAGGGTAAAGAAAAAAAGAAAAACAAAATCGTTTTCTACAGTCGAAACATTTAATTTATTTCAGAACAACTGTGTATTCTTCGTCTTTACTTCTTTGTCAGTCCAGTCTAAATACAGTGTCTAGCCCAATTAATATTATTCAAGCTATGTTGCTTCAATCCCTTTTTCATAATATCAATATCATAACTCTTGCTGTCCTTGAGGTGAAGTGTGTATGTACTTAATCTTCCTTCCCCATCCCATTTGCTTATTTCCTTATTTTAGGTTATTTGCTCCGAACTCTCGATAACTCGAACTCCCAGTTCGAGTTGTCGGGGAGTTGACTGTAATCAATTTCAGTGTCAAAGATTTGACACAGGCAGCAATGTCGCCCGGAAGACGGATGGAAATAAATGTTTTCATTTTTTTTTGTTTGTTTTGTTTGGTTTTGTTTCTTTACTCTAACCTCCATTTTTAGTATCCTGTTATCACTGTGCTCTTTTCCCAGAGTTAGAGTTTGCCGCCTTAAAAACCACTTTTCTGATATTTCTGAAAACAAATCTCAACGAAATCCGAGTTTGGGACAACGGGTTAAAATAAACGCTACCTTACCTTAGTCGCCAGGTGGAACTTACTGGCACATGATCCGAAAGCAAAATCAAATGATTACCTAAACATTTTATCCCAAAAATTAACTCTTCTCTGTTCTGCCAACCTAACGTATATTCACCCCTCATTTACATCATCATACGTTAAAAATTTAGCGTAGCAAGACTTCAAGACTAGCTTGGGGGTATAGTATAAATTACAAGGACTGGACGCCGGGAAATATTGTAGCTCATTAAATCTTCATGCTATCGTTGAGGCTGTCTGTTAAAAAACTTTCTACTCTTTTATTTTCAGTTCGTCAGTAACCTATCCCCTTGTATTGTAACCTATACCTGTCTCAATATGCCTGTAACTACTTATCATATACTTGCAAAAAGCGGATCGAAGATAAGTCTGATTTTCCGGTTTTAAGTCGCAACGAAATGAAACACGTTGAACTTCTTCTCATGAAAATTTCCATTCAAGGTAATACTAATTAGTTTTCCCCCAACAACCATTGTTGCCAAAAAAAAATTGTTCGTTAATAATCATATTTTTTTGTTTCTTTTCCTTTTAAATTAATTCATTTATTGCTAATAAAAGTGGGTTTTACTCATAGGTTTCTTGAGAAATGACAGACGGAACTTCCGCAACCGAGTGTAGGAACAATGACCTCGGAACAATTAATAGCGATACGCTAAAGTGCATATAGCCCCAAATTTGTTAAAAAATAAAATAGAATGGAAAATTTTTAATAAACGATGCAGTAGATTGTTTTCAATCTTACGTAAATCTTATTTTTCTACTGATTTTTGAATCTGTAGAATTAATATTTTGGGCCTTGGGACGAATGAGAAATCTTAAACACAAGGCACCCTTGCAATTTTATAGTACAGTAAATGTATTTATCTCCTCCTCATTTCTTATCTAATCTCCAAGTAACCTC